ATTGTGTCTAACTAAGTATCAAAATAATTAATCCAAATTTATTTGGACAACCAAATGGGAAGAAAGTTTAACTAAAAAATAATAAAAGGAAAATAACAATTAAATCTAATCAAGATAGGAGATACTAAGGCATTGATTTCACCATAATCAGTCAATATAAATTCTGGATTAATATACTTTCAAAACCAATTTATTGAGTGTTATTACATGTGATGATGGATTTCCCTAAATTAATTAACTAGCTTTCTCAAGTCAAGTTAATCCTTCACTTGTTTGTTAAATTAATCATATCTCTATGTAATTTTAAACAAACTTATGAGCATTAAATTTTATGGAAACCTCTAACTTAAGAAGCTACCACATGTGAGCTAATTACCTCTCGGTCTCATAGTCTAGCACACGGTTTATATTATTATTGGTCTAATCTATGCAATTCTTTCTCAAGTTCATGCATAAATTACTAAATCAATTGAAAAGTGATCAGACTTCCAATGCATTAAGTTCAATAATATAAACTCCTCATGCAAATAACTTTAATTGAAAACATAAAATCACAAAATCTATATTAAATTGATTAGGCTACATCGTAACCTTAGTAGAATAAATCAGTTCAAAATAAAAATAATAAAATCTACAATCATAGTTATGAACAAGGAAGAATAAAACCTAATTTGAAAAAATTACAATCCTTGATCTTTTATTGTTAAATCCTCTATCTTGACCTCCAAGAATGCCCAAAAGAGGGCTGCCACAAGCCTCCCAAAGCTCCCTTAATTCTGAATTTGAATGGGTATTTATAGGATTTTAAAAACCCTAATTGAAATAGAAGTAGGACTTGGAATAGAAATAGGAAACTGAATTTTGGATGTTGATTGCGTGGTGCTGATCGCGTGGTGCTGACACTTCGGATTACGTGTTGACACAAAATAAAAAACAGAATCTGATTCTGGACGTTTAATGCATGGTGTCGACACCCCGATCATGTGTCGACACTACACCCGTGTCGGGTTTCTGGTTTGCTTTTGCAATTTCTTCAATGATAAAATAGTAGATTTGGTTCCTGACTTCTGGATTCTGCACAAGTTTATCCTCAAGTCTCTGATCTCTTCAATTTACTTCTAAAAAGTAGCATTTCTTCCAATTAAATCCTTTCATACACAAAAAATGAAAACCATGTAAAATCAAACAAAATCTTATAAAACTCATCCAAATATCAATAATATCAAAGTAAAAATACCCTATTAATATGTATATAAATTTAGCTCATCAAGATGCTTAGCTTTATCACTTACCAATATGTAGCTCCTTGGTAAGTGATCAACCTTCCTCCTTATCTCGCCGATCCCCCCTTTCCCCTCTCATTTTCATTTTCCTCTTCTAGCTATGTTTCCCTTTCCTCCATTTTTTCCAGCAAGCCAAATCGTGAGGGATTAAAGTTTTTTCTTCCCACAATATGTAGATAGAGAAGTGGTAAGTGAAGTTTAACTAATATTATCATTTTTAATTTATTTTTCTATTGAATATAAATATTTTATGTATTTTTTATATTTTTTATAGTTTAGACATAAAATATTGTGATTAATTTATTTGAAATTAACATTGTCAAATTTGTTATTTTTGATAAATTTTATAGATGTTTAGTAAGAATTTTTCGGTAATTTTCCGGTGAAATTCTAATGATTAATGATTAAATTCTGATGAACTTTCCAACAAGCCTTTTGTTGGTAATGTTGATGGCAGGAACATGAAATTTTTGCTTTTCACTTGCCAACATAGATTTTGTCGGTAAATAATGGAGGGAACTATAAAATTTTTGCATTTTGACTTTCCAACAAGCCTCTTGTCGGTAAACTAAAAGCAGGATTACAACATTTTTGTATTTTTTTTCCCACTAAAATTTATTTGTTCCCTATGTGTATTACATCGGGAAAAAAATTCCGACCAACAGTACATAGGTAAAATGCTCTATATATTACCAGGACAACATCACTTGCTCATTTTTTTTTCCTTCTTCTTCGTCTTTCTTCTCCTCCCTTATCTGTCTCTCCTCCTTTCTTGTTCATCAAAATGCTACTGAATTTGTTCTTATATATACCAATGTTATTTTTGTTGGTAACCAGAATTTTTTTTTTGTTGTTGCAAAATTCGTACAAAAACTTCATATTCATCCATAAATTAGTGATCTTGGAGTATTTTATTGGTTGTGGAAAAATAAAGGCCGATTGTTACCTTGTCGGTAAAATAGTGAGATATACTATAAAAAAATATGTATTACAAACGTCAGCTTAGTCGGTAATTTACTCACGTGAGAAGTCCCCTGCAATACTATTCCGACAAGACAGTTGTAGACAACACTCTTGTCGGTAATTGATCTTATTTTACCGATGTGAGAAGCGTTCTGAGAGTACTATTCTGGCTAGAGGGTTAGAGACATGCTTTTAGTCAATAATTTCTAGCGATTTACCGATGTGACTTAAAGCCACATCGGTAAATGAATTACCGAGCCCACTTTCACTAACAAAGTCATTTTCAACATGATCCAAGTTGAAACCCTGTTTTACCAACCTAATTACCTTTCTCTCCGACATGATTTCTCATCGGTGAAATTATGAATTCTAGTAGTGTTTGTAGAATGTTGCAATAATCAACTCCAATTGTTTTTGTAGGCACGAAACAAGTTGACTCCCCTTTACTTGCTCCTTAGTCACCACCCAAACCAAATTGAAAGATTCATTTTTTTTTTTTTTGAAAAGAAAATGAATTTATTATGTGAGTATAAAGGGTATTCAAACCCATACACACCAATATGTATAACTAAAGGTAGAGGCTGGGGTCAAGAATACAAAAACAAAAACAATCCAGACATAGAAACTTGGATTCCAGCTCTCCTAGAAGTCTCTATTTCCTATTTGTCAAGCATCTCATTGGGTTAGAAATCCATTCCTTGAAAGAAAAAATTTCTAGATTCAATAGAGTTCTAACCCAGTGAAATAAACTGGTTTGTACACGTTCAAGCAGTTTATCCTAATTAATCTTCTTGTGTTGAAGAACAGTTTCATTTCTACTCAATCACAATGACCACATTATGGTGAGCCATAACATGTTCCAACCTTTTTTTCAGAGTTTTTGAGCCCTTGTGCCACCTATGCTACTTAAAAACATCCATGCAAGTGTTCCCAAGAACATACTGAAGCCCCCACCATTTGTAACATTTTGTCCATAATTTGAAAAAGATGTTGCATGACACAAAAAGATGATCTATATGTTCAAGATATTGGTCACACCAAAAACACTTTAAACTTTGATTAACATCTAGAATCCCACGCAATGCCAAGTTAACCTTTGTAGGAACTCTATCTAGAAGCAATTGCCATGAAAAATCACTCACTTTTGATAGGACCTGCACACACCACAGTTTCTGTACTCTAGCAGCCTATTTTCATCTTTCTTCGCAAGCCACTCATAGGTGGACCTTGTGGTATATTTTCCCCTAGCATCTAGCTTCCAACTCCAAGTGTCCTTCACATTTGGCTCTAACTTTTTGTGTTTTAATGCCTTGGTCAGTTGTTGCATTTTGTCCTCTTCCTAAGCTCGAAGTGTTCTTCTCCAATGGAACCTCCAAAACCAGCTTCCTTCTGTCCAGTTTCCTTATCCTAAATGCTGCAATTTTTTTCTGTGGCCAATAAAAAAAGTCTAGGGAAAACATTAGCTAGTGAATCCTCACCCACCCATTTATCTAACAAGAACCTACTACTCTTTCCATCACCCAAATTGAGATTGAAATTCGAAATCAACCACCCATCCTTACTACATAAGCCTGTGTTCAATTTACAAACATCACTCCACCAATATGATCCTAAACCCCGGCCCTCCCTTAACCATGATAACCAATTTCCTTCCTTGCCACCATATTTTTCTAATAGTACCCTAGACCACAAACCCTTCTCACTCCCTATTAATCTCGCCCACCATTTGCCAAGCAAGGCCATATTAAACCATTTCAAATTTTTTACCTCGTAAACCTCCCTCTTTTTTACTACAACAAATGCCATCCCAAGACACCCATGTAATCTTTCTACCTTCCTCAACACCTCCCCACAAGAGATGAGAATCTTCCTTTGCACATTGAGAGCTTTCTTTTGAACATCTCGATTAGGGATTTCCATGTGTCTATTCTCCTTGGGTTTGCACCCAATTGCATTCCCAAGTATTTGCATGGAAGGGAGTTAGTTTTACAGTTCGGCAGCCACGCCATTTTTCTGATCCATTCTTCATCAATATTAACTCTAATTAGCGAGCTCTTTATATAATTTATCTTTAGGCCCAACACCAATTCAAATGCCCTCATAATGCATTAAATTGTCCATATGTTGTTTTTAGTTGCCTCACCCATAAAAAGCATATCATTTGCAAACTGCAGGTGGCTAATCCCTAGCTCTTCATGAAGAAAGCCCTTTGAAACAGCTGTTGAAGTTTGTCCATTTAAAGCTGAAAGATTCCTAATTTGCAGAAAGAAAAATCCATGGAGCTTAATCATTTTAGTCATTCGCATCCCATGCTCCTCGTTGAAGATAAGAGTTACCAAGTCAAGGAAGCTTATTGCTCAAGATGCAGGGAACTCATATGGGATTCAAGTTACACATGTGCCAATTGCAAATTTTTCCTTCAAAGGAGGCGTGCTGAGCTACATAGGGAGGGATTTGGTTATCCTTTTCATCACCAGCATCCTCTTGTTCTTTATGATAAGCCACAATACAACTCTTCTTGTGTTGCGTTTAAGTGCAATTCTTGTGGAAAGCAAAAAGGTGAGGGATTTGTTTGTCATTGTTCTACTTGTGAATTTTTATAATATGTTTGTTGTTTACTATTAGAATTTCAACATTTATTTTAGTATATTAGTATTTATATTAAAATATTATATTCACATATAATTGATTATGCGCATTTAAATTAATTAGTTTTATATTTAAAAATATTCTATTATATAAATTTATATATAAGATCTTCATACATACAATGAAAACAATAAAGTAATAAACCTAATTTCTTCAAATATTTTTCTTTCTTTTTTTTTTTTGTTTCTAATATGGTATCATAGTTATAAGTTCTTGGTTTTTCTCTTTTATCATCACAGTTCGGTTTTTGAGTTAGATTTTTAAATCTATTCCAGATCTGAAACTCTATCATTGGAATCTCTTTTCCTACAAATTGGATTGTTTATTCTCAATTCTTAGGTCCTTTCTAAGATAATTTAATTGGTTGATTTATTATTTCAATCATAACATCTTTTTTCTTCATATTTTTAGAGATTTTTTTCTCAATATTGTGAGTTTTATTGTATCTATGGCAAGTTTTGAAAGGAATAAACTTAATCTATTCCTTTCAAACCTAATTTATATATAAGATCTTCATACATACAATGAAAATAATAAAGTAATAAACCTAATTTCTTCAGATATTTTTCTTTCTCTTTTGTTTCTAATACGGTATCATAGCTATAAATTCTTGGTTTTTCTCTTTTATCATCACGGTTTGGTTTTAGAGTTGGATTTTTAAATCCATTCCAGATCTAAAACTTTGTCATTAGGACCTCTTTTCCTATAGATTGAATTATTCATTCTCCATTCTCAGGTCCTCTCTAAGATAATTAAATTGGTTGAGTTATTTTTTCAATCTTGACATCTTTTTTCTTCATATTTTTAGATTTTTTTTTCAACATTGTGAGTTTTATTGTATCTATGGCAAGTTTTGAAAGGACTATAACTCATCTTGCTATTGTTATGGTTGCCAAAGAAGTAATAGACCAACCTAATGTCAACTTTGAATCTTTAAAATAGGTGATATTAAATCTTTTTAATGCTCCTACCACCTTACCTATTACTCCAAGTACCAAACCTTGGTATTTTGATTCTAGTTGTTGTAACAATATGTCTTCAACTACTACTCATTTCTTTTCAATGTCATCAAATAATTCCTTTCCTAATAGTTATTCTGCTAATGTGTTCCCTAAGAATGTTCGTCACATTGGCAATATTTTTACAAAGTCATTGACTTCACCAAATGCTCTCTTGGTTCCAAAACTTAATTATCTTCTATCTACTGCTCAATTATATGATCTTGGCCTTAAAGTAAGATTTTTTGCTTATGGTTGTTGTGTATAGAACCCACAAATAAGACAACTTTTTGGAACTATACTTCTCTAGATTTAATTCTTTACCATCACCAACATCCAACCTTCATTTTAAGGGTGAAAAATGTTCTTCAGTGTGGTATGGTGAAAATTAGCAAGTTTCCCTAATGCAACTATATCATATACTAGGTAAATTTTGTGGAGCACATTACCAGTAGAAAAAAGGTTGAGTAGTCACGAGGTGGGTTGTACATTTGAACTCAATTATCTGCATATTCCACAGTATAAAATGGATATATCATCATTTCCAAATAATCACTTCAACCAAATCAAATTTTATGCTATTGAATTAGAGTCTTTAGAAATTCTATATCAACAAATTTTACAAGTTTGTGTTACTACTAACATTTCTTCTCTCTATTTGTGGCGCTCATGGCTCAGACATATCTCAATTGGTAAATTTTGTTATCTTATCTTTCGTAGTTTATTGGGATCTATTCTATCTCGTCGTTTACATTCCTCCAAATCTGATGCCTGTATTGGTTGAGTTTTTGTGGATATCCATGGCCATCAAAGTTGAGAGAGAATGATAACTCCGTTTTTAGGAAGAGGAGATTATATATGGTGTCTATATTTCTTGGAATTTGGTTTCATTTTGGTATATATGTTTTTTCCACTTCTGGGATTGGTCGGTTGCTTTGTCCCCCATGCTAAGTAGTCTGAAATTAAGATTAGTACTTAGGACAAGAAAGGCATGTCTCTAGCATCTTTTTCCTTTCTAATATATAATCAATGGACGTGGAAAGGGGAGTGAAAATTTGGTAACAGAGTTTCCTTTCTAATATATTTCATCCAAGAAGAAATGACTCATCCATTTTTTTTTTTTTTTTCTTCGTCTTTTTTTCTGTAATCTTTTCTTTCATTTCTTGGATGGCTTTTCTATGAAAAGCATAACTTTGTGTATTTCCTCAAGACTTAATTTAATAAATAGTTTATTAACTTTTGTATTTTTTTTTTTGTTTCATCTACTATGTTTTATTTTTAGTTTAGTTTAGTTTAATTTGTTAATTTTCTACTAATAGTTTTACTCTATTTGGTCTAATTGACCTTCAACTATAACTTTTGTGAATTTTTACTTCTTAAAATTAATTTTGAGATGCAACTAATTTTGTAAGGATGATAAGTTCTCTTTCACTATTTGAGAAATTATAACTTTGTAACAGAAACCCCAATTATTGATATGTTTTAATAATCAGCACAATTTGTTATGAATTGCTTTGTTGATTGGACTATTCGGTTTTGATTTTAATTTAATTTTTTTGTTTTTTTTTATTAAAACTAATATAATTTTTATACAATATACTATTCTGAAATATTTTACAAAGTTTATAGATTATTTAGAAAAAAAAAAAACAACTTTCTAAAATAAAATAAAATTAAGTTAAGAGTTAATATACCAATTATTGAATTAAGTGATTTCCTTGAAGTGTAGAAACTATTCCTCCTCTGTAAAGTATGAGAAGCTCATTTTGAGTCATTCGCTTGCTTCCCCCAAATCGGATTGTAGATCAAAATGAAGCCTTTTGCTAGATTGGCAAGTTGGCAGCTAGCCCAACAAGGAATGGGCTAGGATAGCTTAATTTGGTTAATGCAAAATGGGCTTGATTTGCAGTTAAGCCCATCCATTTTGTTTGCATTTCCAGCCTTGCCCATCCATTAATTATCTCACATTTTGATCTAGTTTATGGCATAGCCTCCACGTTCGCATGTTGAAACCAGATTTGATTAATCGGTAGAATCTATTATATTTTTGCATTAACAAGATTCAAAATTAAAAAGCCATAATATTATTTACCTTTTAATGGATAGGGTCTTACAACTATGCATCTTTAAAATTATAAAATAATTTGGAGAGAGAGGTAAAGTTTGTGCCTATTTCTTTCTCAATACAGGTCCACGGTATGTGCCTCAAGTTGCATATTATCATTCGAGAATAAAGTTAGCTTAGTGAAAAAGTTTTGAGAACAAAGTCAGTTCCAAATGTTAATACATTTTACAATATAAATTATAAAGTTGCTTTCATGTTAAGTTGTGTGCTTTAGATGCGGAACCATGTTGTTTTATTAAATGATCTCCGCCTAAAAATTAACATTGGAAGTTGATATTTAGTTTTCTCACATATAAAATTATTTATTAAAATTTTATATAAAAATTAAATTAACATAATTAAATTAAATTAAATATTAATTATTGTGCGTGTCTCTATAATTTACTGATTAAAATAATTTTAATCTAAAATTTTTATCTTAAAATTCGATGTCAGTAATCATCACTCTTAAATAAAGATATTTCCATTTTTATCATGAAGAAAAATAATACATCTTGGTACATTATTTAATTTTGAAAGTGAGTGGAAGGCAGCATCAGCCATGACGTGAAATGGGCCAAAGGTTTCTTGAATGTTGAAAATAATTCATATTCGAATATTGTTTAATAAATTTTTCAACTTAAACTTTTTTTAGAGTATATATTAAAGGTATAATTAATATATTTTGTAGTTATTAAATTATATAAAAAATTAAAAATTAATAATATTAATTTTAATATTAATACTATATGTTGCAATGTAATTAATTAATTATTAAAATTAAAATTAAAAATTATTTTTATATAATTTAATTATTAAAAAAATGTAATAAATGCTTTGTTAATATGTTGATAGAATCACATGAGTGAAGACCTTTATTTAATTTTAAATGTGAGTGGAAGACAGATCAGCCATGACCTGAAAGCTGAAGTGGGCCAAGGTTGTGAAATGTTGCAATAATCAATTGGCCAAAGCTCTATTTGCACCCTCCATTTATTTTTTTTTTACGGTCAACACCTTCCAGAATTTTTCCTCTTTATTTACACCCTTCACTTTTCAAAACTCATGAAAAATCTAATATTTTAACGGGCCATCACAGCACCGTTAATAGCCGTTAAAAATTATAATACATGGCATCAAACAGTAACATAATTCAATGTAGACTTTTTTTTTGATGATATGGCATAATTAAATCATAATTAATTTTAATTTTTTCATTTTCTTCTTTCCCGCATCATCTTTATCATCTTCCTCTTCATCTTCCTGGGTTCCTCATGGAACCAGGAACCAGGAACCCAGAACTTTTTTTTATAATGTGTTATAATTAAATCATTATTAATTTTAATTTCTTCATTTTCTTCTTTCCCAGCATCATCTTCACCATCCTCATCCTCATCCCCCTAGGTTCCTCGCAAAACCCAGGTTCTGAGTTCTTCGTAGAACCTAATTTCACATGAATGACTACCAAGCTAAGATTTTCATCCACACAATTATAAGTAAATGAATACTGCACAAAAACATGATAATCATCTTTTACTCCTTTCCTACAAAAAACGAAAAAAACTCAAATTGGCAACCTATTTAGAAACAATCTCCCAGCGAAAAAACTCACTTTTTCAACAAAAAAAAAATTATTTCAAATTATTTTGCATAAAATCGAAAGATAAGATAAATACATTTAAAATAAAAAAATCAAAAAAAAAAAAAAGGTTGGAACTGGGTTCCGCGCAGGAACCCGAACTGGGTTCCCCGCGAGGAACCCATTGAGAAAGAAGAGGATGGTGAAGATGGAGGACGGTGAAGATGATGCGAGGATGAGGGGGGAAAGAAAAAAAAGAAAAAAATGCCATTTATGTAATTGTTTGGTAATATTATAATTTTTTATTATTTTTACTGTATACGTGGCGTCCATCTTGGATTACTAACGTTACATAGTGCCACGTCAATTTTTGGGTGCTTCACGGGTTTTGAAAAGTAGAGGGTGTGAATAGGGAGAAAAAATTCTGAAAGGTGTTGACCACGAAAAAAAAATAAATGGAGGGTGCAAATAGGAGCTTTGGCCTAATCAATCGATTGTTTTTGTCGATTGAAACAAGATAAGTTGACCCCCGTTTACTTGCTCCTCCGTCACCACCCAAACCAAACTGAAAGATTCCTAATTTGCATAAAGAAAAATCCATGGAGCTCAATCATTTTAGTCATCCGCATCCCCTGCTTCTCGTGGAAGATAAGAGCGACCAAGTCAGGGAAGCTTATTGCTCGGGATGCAGGGAACTCATACAGGATTCAAGTTACAGATGTACCGACTGCAAATTTTTCCTTCACAAGGCGTGTGCTGAGCTACCGGGGGAGTTGGATCATCCTTTTCATTCGCAACATCCTCTAGTTCTTTATGATAAGCCGCAATATGACTCTCCTTGTGTTGCGTTTATCTGCAGTTGCTGTCGAAAGCAAAAAGGTGAGGGATTTGTTTATCATTGTTCTACTTGTAAATTTGACCTTGACATACAATGTGCTCTGCTGCCAAAATTGATTGTTGGCGATTTCCCTAAACTGAAACATTTTAGCCATCAACATTCACTTTTGTTCATTGAAAAGCATTGCATTGAAAGTGCAGATCAGTCTTGTTTTGCATGTGAAGATCCAATATCAGGTCCTATTTATTGTTGTTTTGACTGTCGAGTTTTCCTTCATAAAAAATGCACTGAGCTACCTCTTGTGATAAATCACCCTAGCCACCGCAAACACTCTCTTACTCTTGGGCCCAATCCTCCACCTTTCAGCCACTCCAAGCACTCTCTTACTCTTGTGCCCAGTCCTCCACCTTCCAGCCACTCCAAACACTCTCTTGCTCTTCTAGCCAATTATCCACATGAAAAGGGCTGTTCTTGCCATTTATGCAGCAAACTCCAAAAAGGATTTGTTTATTATTGTTCTCCTTGCGAGTTCAGCATTTCGATCAAATATATTTTCTCTGATTTATTTGAAGCAAAGATTCATGAACATCCATTCACTCTCCTATCAAGGCCAATGTCATTTATCTGTGATGCATGTGGTATTTGTGGGGAGTATTGCATGCCTTACATATGCACCATATGTAATCTTGTAGTGCATAAGGATTGCATTTCCCTTCCACATACCATCAAGTTAAGAAAGCATGAGCACTCAATTTTCCATGTTTATAATTTCCTTAAAGAAAATGAAGTAAGAAAGAGGATCTGCAGAATTTGTCGGAAAGATGTGAGTATGGAATATGGGAGCTACCATTGCTTAGATTGTGATGATTACTTTGTTCATGTGAATTGTGCGAGAGACAAAGATCTTTGGGACAATGAGATTTTTGAGGAGGAAGTAAATCAGAAGTCCAGTGAAACCTTGGGAGAAGGAAAAATTAAACACTTCAGCCATGACCACAAGTTGCTACCAAGTGACGAGTTGAAAAATTGTGAATATGATTGTGACGGTTGCAGAAGATCAATCTCTACTGCATTTTACCATTGTGCTGAATGTAATTACTTCCTTCATAAATGTTGTGCCGAGTTACCTAGAAAGAAGAAACACTGGAATGCTGAGAGAGTCCGAACTCTCAACTTTAAACCCATTTTTGGGTGTTATTTTTGTGGGTTTTATTGCAGCGGGTTTTGCTACGTCAATGATGATGACAGAGCACCAATTATCTGCATTGGATGCTTTGAAATTCCAGACTACTTCACTGATCATGGACACGAGCACCCTCTTTTCTTTGACCACAAGTTTACAAGGGAGTGTAGTAATTGTAACGAAAAAAAAGGAAAATTCAGGTGTGAAGATAATTGTGAATTTGTTTTGTGTCGCCGATGCATTGCGCTACCAGAAACGGCCTGGTACAAGCATGATGGGTACAAGCATGATGAACATCCTCTTGCACTCACTTACTATGATGATGTTCATGATTCATATCAATGGTTTTGTGACATATGTGAAGAACCAAGAGATCCAAAAAAGTGGTTTTATTACTGTGCAACTTGTGATTATTCTTGCCATTCCCCTTGTGCTCTCGGGAAGTACCCATATGTGAAGTTGGGGTCACCTGCCAAGTTTGTAACTCATGAACATCCTCTCACTTTCATGAAGGACAATCTTCGCTATCACAAATGCAGTAAGTGCGGCAAGAGTTGCAAAGATGCGTTCCTCAAATGTGTAGAGTCAGAATGCAAGTATGTTGTCCACTATTTATGTCAATAATTTCTGCTTCAAATATATAGGCGCTGGCTGTGAACAATTGATAGTGATATTAATTGCTCTTTGATATTAATGGGAATCCCACAAGCAAGCCAAACGTTGTTAAAATCACTTGGTTCCTATTTTTTAGTTCCATTTCATTTCTATGGTATGCTTTATAGTAGTCTGGATTCTTATTTGTTCTAATCAAACATCGGATGGTTGTTTTCTTATCTTTCCTTGAAATAGTCAGAATGCTCTTTCAAGACATGTCCACAAAATTTAACTGTTACTTACAGTGATGAATGAACTATAATTCTAGATGCTGTTTATGTGCAGTTGCTTATATATGCTTGTGCATTAGCATTACGAAGAACTAGATTATCATGACACTTTTGCTCTGGTTGCTAAACTTGTTACTGTTCATTGCCTACTTGCCATTGCTTCTACACACAATTGGGGATTACATCAATTGGATGTCCACAATGCCTTCCTTCATGGTGACCTTGATGAAGAAATGTCCATGCAATTAACACCTGGTTATGGGAATTGTTATACCCTAAATCAAGTCCCATGAGAATCAAGACACGTGGAGATATTTTAAAGATAGTCTTATCAAAGTTGGGTAGAATAAAATCCCACTAGAATAAGAATACCCTAAACACCAATTAAATAAAATTGTATTCCTAGAATAACTATATTTAAGCATCTTATAAATACCTCTACGATCAACCTAAGGAGGTAGATTATTTTTCCATCACCATTCTTTCTTCATTGTAAACTCTCTCTATCAATAAAGATCTTGGTTCCACACCATCTTTTCTATTTTTTACCGTTAACATTTGGCGCCCACCGTGGGGCCGAGTTCTTTTTGATCCACGAATATCGCATGGAAAATTCAGGAAATTCATCACCTCTTAGTAGAAGCACCCTAGGTTCCAGAAGCAAAGCCAGAATGAGCAACTCTTCTTCGTCAAGCACGAATCCAAGAGATACTATCAATAAAGCCAAACCATCAGACTCAATTGTAGCATCACAAATACAGAAACTTACACAAGGCATGGAAGAAACAAGGCAAAGTTTAAAAGCAATCGAGCGAGCCATAGCATCTATGACAAAGGCTACTAACACCTCGTCACAAGAAACAAGATGAGAACGCTTGTCACAAAGTGAGGCCAGGACACTTGAAGGGAAGGAGCAAGATTCAGCACAAGAAAATAGCAACCAAGATGAAAGTTACGTACCTTCAAAACCAACAGAGTTGACAGTCGACACGAGCTTGCAACCATCCTTAGCTTTTACTCAATACAATTTTTGGAGCAAAAACATGATACCTCGCACACATTCAAACCAAAGGAAGGCTAGCCAACAAGTCCATGAAGCCACCTTCATGGCAGTAGGTCCACAAAAGGCAGAAACACAGGTTCATGATGACGGTATTTACAAAGAAATTGAGGCGTTGCGACAACATCTGGCAAAAATAGAAGCAGGCAGGCAAAGGTATGCAAAACCAACACACATAGCTTCAGTAGAAAAAGCCTTTATAGACGAAATCATCAGGGAACCTATGCCATCAAACTTCAAAACTCCACAGCTAGCTGAATATGATGGAACTCAAGACCCAGTGGAGCACGTGTAAGAATATAGAATGGCAATGATGGTATATGGAGCCTTGAATGATCTATTATGCAAGCAATTCCCAGCAACTTTCAGGAAAGCTGCATAGGCTTGGTTCACAACATTACCAGAAAAATCTATCCAGACCTTTGATCAATTTGCAAATATGTTTATCAATCACTTCATTGCCAGTAGAGCTCCTCGAAAGACCAACTATCATCTCTTAACAATTAAACAGAAGACAAGAGAGTCACTAAGAGCCTACATAGCAAGATTTCACAACAAAGCTGTGCAAGTAGAAAGATTAGACCAAAGTGTGGTAATGCATGCTCTAATGGACGGACTTAAAGACTCAAGTTTCTATAGATCCTTAAACAAACGAGAGTCCACCAGCTTTAATGATATATTAAGAAAGGCAGAAGGATACATTAGAGCGGAAGAAAGGGCGGCAGTAAAAAAGGCACAAGAAAAATCAAATTCAGAAGAAGGAAGAAAGCGAAAAATAGAAAAAGATATAGATAATAAAAGTGTCAAAGATAGAAAACAATCAAGGTACAACTTGAGGGATAGACACCCCAGGACACAAAGAGAATTTGTGGGATACACAATGCTCACACCTTTAAATACTAGCAGGACAGAGGTCTTGAACATAGCAAAGAAAACAGAGAAGTTGCAATGGCCACTAGAATGGCGAGTAACCCAACTAGGAGAGACCAAACATGATTTTGCGCCTTTCATGGAAAGCATGGACACGACACAGAGGAATGTAGACAATCGAAAATAGAAATTGAGAGGTTAACAAGACGAGGAGCACTTCGACAATTCATTAATAGAAAC